CACCAATGTCTGTGATACCAAGTGGCCAGCTGCCCCTTACAAGTACTTCAACACAGCCAATCGGGAGCTGCAGCAGCTCTTCCGCCAATGGAAGGTGAGGAAGGGGCCCAGGCACTTCTTGCTTTTGTGCTTTTATTTCTCCCTCTGATCTTCTTTTTCTGCCTCCCTCAATTTTTTATTTTTATGCTATAGGACACATGCACTCACCAGAGAGAGACAGAGAGAGAGAGAGAAAGTGAGAAATCACCCTCCAAGGGGATGATCATGCCACAGTTCTTTTAACTCCATTCTCCTCTTGGGATTTTCGGCATGCATGTACAACATGTCCTATGTAATTTTCAAGTTGCCAGATTTGGGACTTGAACTGTGGAGCCAACCATGTAGGATCCAGTGCCTTAACCACCATGCTACCCACCGGCCCCATCTATATCTTTTTTCTTTTCTTTTAAAAAAAAATTATAGCACGGGACCAGCAGTTAACGTAATGGCTATGTCGCTGGACTCCCATGTAGTCAACCACAGTTCGAGGCCCGGACCCGGTGGCTTAAACTCATGCTGGGTGCATGTGCGTGCGTGTCCAACATCCTGAGAGGAGAATGGAGGAGAGCGGATTGCGGCGTGGCCATCCCCTCTGGGGGACAATTTCTCGCTTTCTGTCTCTCTGTCTCTCTCTGTCTTTCTAGCAAGTGTACGTGCCCTATAGCAAAAACCTCTCCAAAAGAAAAAATTACAGCAAATTCTATATAATAAAACTTTACCATTTTAAACATTTTTAAGTGTACAGTTTGGTGGCATTTAAGTACATCCCCTGGTTGTGCACCAGGTCCAGCTTTTTCTTTTAATCACTCCAAACTGAAATGTTGTCCTCATTAATCAAAAAACTCTCCGTTCCTCCTTCCCCTAGCCTCTGGTAGCCTACCATCTACTCTTCCTAGCATTTGACTATTTTAGATACTCGATGTGAGTAGGAATCATACAGTATTTTCATTTTATGTCTTGGTTATTTCACTTAGCGTAACATGATTTGTTCTTTCATTGGGGAGATGGTTACTTTATTTATTTATTTATTTATGAGATTTTTGCTATCGGATGCGTGCGATCACCAGAGAGAGAGAGAGAGAGACAGAGACAGAAAGCGAGAAATCACACCCTAGGGGCACAACCATGCCACAAATCCTTCTCCTCCATTCTCCTCTTGGGAGCTTGGGCACGCACGCATACACACTCGGCATGAGTTTTAAGCTGCCAGGTCTAGGACTCAAATTGCCGTCGACTACGTGGGAGCCCAGCAACATAACTATTATGCCATCTGCTGGTCCCAGGGAGATGGTTATTGAACCCCCTCTGGGATTAAGCCTGCCCTGTGGCTGGGCACACAGTCTTCATGGTGCTTAGGTTTGGTTGTCTCCATCTCCTTCCCCAGCATCCCTCAGTTCCCACCCTCCTCCGCCAAAGCCTCCAGCCCCCGTGTCTCCCTGAGTGTCTTTCTCCCTCTGTCTCTCTTCTCCCCTAAGGTTCTCCAGTCCACGTTTCTCACCTCCCTCCCACCCTCCCCCGCCATGATCTTAGCTCCTGTCCTTCCCTTCTCACAGTGCAAGAAGTTCCGGGATCAGCTGTCCCCCAGGCAGGTTGAGATACTGAGGGAGAAGCTCTGTGCCAGTGAACTGTTCAAAGGCAAGAAGGTGTCATACCCCCAGAGGTGAGGGGCTCCGGGACCCTGCACCGGGAGTGCCAACAAGCAGTGTTTGCCAACTGGATCCTGCATCAGAAGCACCTGGCAGGATCGTCAACACTCTCCGTCTCTGAGTCTGCAGGGCTGCCTTTCTAACAAGTCCCCCGGTGGTGCTGTGTTGACGGTCCTGGACCAGGGCTGCCAGCCTCTGAGACAGAGGACATGGTGGAGGGCGGGGAAGGGCACTGGAAGACTAAGGGGTGAGCTCCAGGGTGGGGGAGGTGCTGGACCGTGTCTTCACTGCACGCCTCCTGCATGTCCTCAGTGTCCCTGTTCCATTCCGCGGTGACTACGTTGGGCTGCAAGGGAACCCCAAACTACAGAAGCTGAAGGGTGCAGAGGAAGGGCCTGTTCTGATGGCAGAGACTGTGAAGAAGGTCAATCGTGGCAATGGCAAGGTGAAGCCTGCATCTTCAACTCCTCCCTGCAGCCTGAACCGGAGCCCCCAGAGGCCTGCCACTGGAAGTAGTTGGGTCACCGTGTGTGTTGTGTCCTGTGGAGTGGGATGCGGTTAATCCTACCTTTCCTGCTTTGTCCCTAGACTTCTCCTCGGATTCTCCTTCTGACTAAGGGGCATGTGATTCTCGCAGACACCAAGAAGTCCCAGGCCCAAGCTGTCATTGGTCTGGGTAATGTGGCTGGGGTGTCTGTCACCAGCCTCAAGGATGGGCTCTTCAGCTTGCATCTGAGTGAGGTATCTATCCAAGCTGGGTCGGGGCAGGGCCATAGGGCGCTGGAGGTGACGGGGACCACGTCTCTCATTCTAGGACTTACCTTCCCTGCTATTTCCCCTCTTTCTGAGATATCATCGGTGGGCTCCAAGGGGGACT